ATAATTTTAATATGGTTCTGGCATAAAGAAAAGCATATAGACCAATGAAATAGAACCCAGATCAAAACAACAATGAGGTATCAGCTCATACCTATCAGAATCGCTATCATCAACAAATCAACAAATGACAAGTGTTGCAGAGGAAGCAGAGAAAAAGGAACCCTCTTGCACTGCTGGTGGGAATGCAGACTGGTATAGCCACTGAGGAAAACAGCATGGCATTTCCTCAAAAAATTAAAAACGGAACCACCATTTGACCCAGTAGTCCCACTTCTAGGACTACTAGTATATCCCAAGAAAACAGAAAGACCAATCAGAAAGGATATATGCACCCCTATGTTCCTAGCAGCACAATTTACAATGGCTAAGATTTGGAAACAGCCTAAGTGCCCAACACTAGATGAGTGGATCAAAAACCTGTGGTATATCTCACAATGAGAACTACGCTATCGTAAAAAAAGAAGGAATTCTTATCATTTGCAAGATAAGCAAAATAAGCCAATCTAAGAAAGATAAATATCTTTATATCATTATATTCTACAAATGATCACACTCATTGTGGAATATAATGAACTTCATAAATTGATGAACAAAAATAGATACAGAGGCAAAGAAACATCGAACAGACTCAAACTTCAGCAGGAAGGCAGGGGACAGTTGGAGAGGGTAAGAGATCAACCACAGGACTTGTATGCATGCATATAAGTATAACCAAGGGACACAGACACTCCGAGGGTGATGGCATGTGCTAGGGGGTGGGGAAGGCTGAGGGGAGGTTAAGAAGGGAAAAAAGGAGACATGTGTACTACTACTTGTAATATAATACTTTAAACAATAAAAAAAAAAATAGAACCCAGAACCCAGAAGTAAATCCTCACATATATGGTCAAATAATTTTCAACAAGGATGCCAAGACAGTATAAGAAAGGACAGTATTTTCAGCAACGATGATGGAGAAACTGGATGTCCATCTGCAAAAGGATAAAGTTGGACTACTACCTTAAACCATTTACAAAATTAATTCAAAGGGAGTCAAAGCCTAAAATATAAAAGCTAAAATTACAAAACTCTTAGAAGATAATATAGGAAAACATTTCATGACAATGGGTTTGGCAATGACTTCTGGATATGAAACCATACACCGAAGTAACAAATAAGAATTGAATAAATTGGACTTTATCAAAATTTAAAATTATTGCACATCAAAGAACACTAACAACAGAGTGAAAAGGCAACCCACGGAATAGGAAAAAATATTTGTAAATTATGTATTTGATGAAGGATTATAACATCCAGAGTATTTAAGTAAATCCAACAACTCAGTAACAGAGAACAAACACTCGAATTTAAAAAAAATAGGCAAAGGACTTGGGTAGACATTTCTCTCAAGAAGATGGACATATACCAATTAGTACATGAAAGAAGCTCAATATCACTAATTAATACAAAAGTATAAATCAAAATCACAATGAGATACCACTTCACACCCATCAAGATGTCTATTATATAAAAAAGATAAAGAACTAGTATTGGCTAGAATGAGGAAGAATTAGAAGCTTTGTGCATTGTCGGTGGGAGTGTAAAATTGGTGCAGGTTCTGTGAAACAGAATGGCTATTCCTCAAAAAATTAAAAATAGATTTACTATATGACCCAAAATTCAATTTCTGGGTATTTTACACAAAAGAATTGAAAGCAAAAATTTCAAAGATATTTGTACATTCCTATTCATGGCAACATTACTTACAGTAGCCAAAAGGTAGAAGCATCTTATGTCTATTGATAGGTAAATGGATAAAATGTGGTATATAGATACTATATAATATTATTCAGCCTTGAAAAGAAAAAAAATTATGACACATGCTAAAAGATGAATTAATTTGTAGAATATTAGGCTAAGAGTCATAAGCTAGGCACAAAAGGACAACTATTGTGTGATTTCACTGGGAAAAAAAATACACCTTTAAACCTGGGGGGAAATGAGATACTGCAAGATTTCTCATTTTGGCAAAATTCACAAAACTGAATGGCATTTGGATTATTTTGTACTAAATGTTCCATGATTGCTTGATTCAAGATTTAGATGTACATGGATTTAGACAACTATCCACAGTGTAACTGTGGAACTCAAGGTCTGCTTTCAAGCTCTCTCTGGAAGCAAGGAAGCCAGATTTGAACAAAATTGGTGATAGCAAGCAAATTAAATTCTGTGATTCAGAAGAAAAAAAAAATTGTAATACATCATGTCCCCTGCAACTTTCTTACTTGAGGATTCATCATCAGCATATTTCTTAGTCAATAAGCATTATTTTATTGTTTTAGTTTTTAATATCTGCTTACTATTGTGGAGTGCAGATCAGTCACATTGTATTTGTGCATCCTTTGTTGGAAAGTTTTTTGTTTTTTATGTTTTTCTTCCTTTTGCCACTCTAAAAAAAGCTGTAATAAGTAGCCTTGTACATATAACAGGATATGGTATTGTTTTTCATTTCTAAAATGAACAATAGGGGTTTTTCACATCCTAATAAATATTTCACGTATGTGCATTGCAATTTGAGAAAAAATACTGAGAAAAAGCTAAGCATAGAAACCTTTTGTTCATGTATTGTAGTATTTTTTTCTTTTTTTTTACTTTTCCAAGAAAGGATGCTAACATTTACTGACATCATTTTCATTGTGTGATGATGAACCTTCAAAATGCCAATAATACATGAGTAAGTTCATTAAGGTAGGTCCAGAGTGCCACAGAGGAGATTCAAGGAAAATCTGATGGAACTCTTAGAGCCCTGGTTGGCAAACTGTGGCTCACCATCCACATGCGGCTCTTTGGCCCCTTGAGTGTGGCTCTTCTACAAAATTAGGAGTACCCTAATTAAGTTAATAACAATGTTCCTATCTATATAGTATAAGTTTAAAATAAATGTGGCTCTCAAAAGAAATTTCAATCATTGTACCGTTGATATTTGTCTCGGTTGACTAATGAGTTTGTCAACCACTGTCCTAGAGGGAGATCTAGTTAAGGAACCAATCTCAGGTCGCATCTTTTCCAAGGATGTAAAAGGCAACTTGGGGATCCTAGAGTCATCAGTGCCTCAGAGTTCGGGTTTCAAAGGTTTATAGAGCCCGTAAACTCCTACTGCCACACAAAGATTCTCACTTGAAGCTGACACAGACTCTCCATTACAGGTGGGTAGAAAATACATTTTTTTTTTTTATAATGGCCTTTAAAAGATCCCAGCTCTTCCTCAAACTGAGCAACTCAACTTTCATTTTTGAAAGAACTGGACATCCTATATAATCAAATAATGCAATATTAAAAGTAAGGCTTGTTTCCAATATTTAAAACATGTTCAGAATACAAGGCTTTAAGTATGATCCAGCTATTTATGTTTCCAAATGAAAGCTGACATTACATCTTATGTACTTAGATAAATTATATCATGACTGAAGCAATGGAATTTTGCTCACTGAGATGATTGATATCAAAGTTTTGTTTCTGCATTATTAGCTGAAGTGAAAACTGCATGTTTCATAGGATGTGAGAGAAAACTGGATATACAACTCCCTAAACTCCAAATGATAATCATTTTTGAGAATGTAACCATCCAACACAAGTTCTCTCAAAAAAATGTTTCCATGAAATCTGGTAACATGTACAGAAGCATAATATCTCATCAATGCAGTCATAAGCCATCTATCTGACAGTAAAATAAGCCTGCAAAGGTTTTAGTTGAGGAGACCTCCAAAGGAAGGGCTCCTATTTGAGGAGAGACACTGCAGGAGCAGGAGCAAGGTTTGATTCCTGGTTTGATAGAACAGCCGAAACCGGTTTGGCTCAGCGATAGAGCATAGGTCTGCGGACTGAAAGGTCCCAGGTTCAATTCCGGTCAAGGGCATGTACATTGGTTCCGGGCACATCTCCGGTAGGGGGTGTGCAAGAGGCAGCTGGTTGATGTTTCTCTCTCATCGACGTTTCTAGCTCTCTATCTCTCTCCCTTCCTCTCTGTAAAATATCAATAATATATATTTAAGAACAGAAACTTTATAACATTCTCAAGGAGAGAATAAAACCAAGGAAGGAAATGTTCATTTACAGAGTTGCCTTCAACTCTCCTGACTGAAAAGAGAGTATTAAAAAATAAATATTAAGAAAAATATTAACTAAAAATTTAGGTGGGGTATGTTTTATAAAATTTTAATGTTATAAAATTATATCAATAAAATTATAGGTTGTAATAAAACAGTAGAAAGAATATGAGGATTTGCATAAACTTGAGGGGCAAGAAGGAAAAGAGTCATGAAAGAGGAAAAAAAAAGGAATTTGTGTCCAGTAAAGCAAAGTGGATTGAATTACAAAAGCCATAAAATTTTTACAGAGATAATCTTTTTAAGCTAAAAAGATAATCAGTAACCTGAAAAATAGATCTGTGGACATACCTTTATGTATTTCTGACTGAATTATTAATATGAGAAATAAGAAAAGCAGTTAACAGGTATAAGTGGCAGAATATGCAAGTTCAAAGTGCCAGCTATTAGAAGTTATGGAAGATAGAATTAAAAAATTGGGCAGAATAAGTGACTAGAATCACCTATTGTGAGGGGGGAAAAGCAAGAGGTTTGGGATGAAGAAATCATAAGAAGACATTTTCAATTATTTGGGGACATACTATTTCTCTAGTCTTTCTTCCATTCAATACAAGAGACATCAGATTGAATCATGGCTTCAAATGTTTGTTTACAAACTAATAACATCCTCATAATTTGTAGGAAGTAAATCTTCAACATTTATAATGCTGGATCATCTGTTTAAATTGGTGTACTTGCTTTTTCTCTCTCGCAAATGATTGACATTTTTATTATTAGGTCTAGAAACTTTAATAACTGAGTTAGAATTACACATGATTCCAGGACATCTCACCTAAGAAATTGCCTTTGCCACCTAATGGCAGTCTCTTACACTTTCTAACCACGTCTCCCTTTTTCCCCCACACAGATGAATTCATGGCTCCTGAAAACGTCACCTGGGTTACTGAGTTTATTCTAAGAGGTATCTCGAGCAGTCCAGATCTCCAGATTCCACTCTTCTTTGTTTTCCTGGTCATCTATGGGCTGACCTTGGCTGGGAACCTGAGCATTATCACTCTCACCAGTGTTGACTCTCAACTTCAGACCCCCATGTACTTTTTCCTCCGGCACTTGGCGATCATCAACCTTGGCAACTCTACTGTCATTGCCCCTAAAATGCTGATCAACTTTTTAGTAAGAAAGAAAACCATCTCCTATTATGAATGTGCCACCCAACTGGGAGGGTTTTTGGTTTTCATTGTAGCTGAAGTTTCCATGTTAGCTGTGATGGCCTATGACCGATACGTGGCCATTTGTAATCCCCTGCTCTACATGGTGGTTTTATCTCACCAGATCTGCCTTCTGCTAGTATTACTCACGTATGCCTATAGCTTTTCCACAGCTATTGTGACAACATCTTCTGTATTCTCTATGTCTTACTGCTCTTCCAATGTGATCAATCATTTTTACTGTGATACTGTCCCTCTGTTAGCCTTGTCCTGCTCTGATACTTACTTCCCAGAAACAGTCATTTTTGTGTCTGCAGCTACAAATTTGGTTTGTTCCATGACTATAGTACTAGTATCCTATTTCAACATTGTTCTATCCATTTTAAGGATACGTTCATCAGAAGGAAGGAAAAAAGCCTTTTCCACATGTGCTTCCCATATGACAGCCATCACAATTTTCTATGGGACACTACTATCCATGTATTTGCAGCCTCGAACTAGCCATTCACTGGACACCGATAAAATGGCTTCTGTGTTTTACACACTTTTGATCCCCATGCTGAATCCCATGATCTATAGCCTGAGGAATAAGGATGTGAAGGCTGCATTAAAGAGATTGCTGACAAATTTATTCTGTTCTTTTAAATCAATGTGATAGAACTCTGTAGGTGAGTGAAGAGATAGGTAAGGTAGGCTGCCAGTGTGTCAGAGAAAGTAAAGTTTAGGTGGCTGACTCACAGGTTTCCAAGTAATCCTTGGAATTAAAAGAGGCCAAGATTTGGGAATTGAAAAAATAAACTAAAGGTCTTGTAGTTATATAGTTAACACAGAAGCTAGGTATTGTTCACAAACTTTGCTAAAGGTTGTGCAGATATGTAAATTGAAATAAATATTTCTGGGAGTCAGGAAAAAAGTAAGAAAATAATTAAGTAAGTTAAAACAGAGCAATAAAATGTGGATTAGAGAAGTAAGTCATTCAATCTTTCACACACACACACACACACACACACACACACACACACACATATATATATATATATATATATATATATATATATTGCTTTTTTAAAAATTCCTGGATATCTTTTGTTATAATGATTTGTTTCATCTTGAAGAACTATAATTAAAGATGGCTAAAATCCTTGTAATAGTTAACAAAATTAAACTAACGAGTATATCTAAAATAAAACTTTTTACCTCTTTTTTAATATCATTTGAATCAAGAAGTATAGACCACTGTTGAGTTTATGGACCTGGAGATTATTATGCTAAGTGAAATAAACCATTCAGAGAAAGGTAAACACCATGTGATCTCACTTATATGTGGAATCTAATAAACAAAATAAACCAATGAACAAAAGAGAAACAGAAGCATGACTACATGGAACAGAGTGACATTTGTCAGAGGGGAAGGGGCTTGGGCATGGCTAGATGAAAGGAGGTGAAGAGATTAAACAAATAAACAAACTATATATAAATATAAATATATACGTATGGAACAGTGTTTGATAGCCAGAGTGAAAAGGGGTTAGGAGGGTTGCTTAAGGTGAACAAAGGGCTGGGGAAACATGGAAGGAAAGAAACTTTGCTTGGAGAGATTGAAGCATATTGCAGTGTGCAGATGATGTTTTACTGAGTTGTACACTTGAAACCTGGATAGTTTTGTGAACCAATGTCACCCCAATAAATTCAATTAAAAAAAAGAATAAGATTATGATCCACAAAAAAACAAAGTTGAAACAATTTCTAAACTGGGATCAAATGTGAAATTTGGTAACTCAACATGAGAAGTGGCTCTTCAATGAAGAGGCGATACTTCCACAGGTTTTGAATGGTAAATAGAATTTTCCCTTTAACTATACTTTTTGTTTGTTTGTAGGGAAGGGTCTAGGAATGGCAAGGGAAGAAGTAGAGAAGCATGGAGAGAATATTGTTATTGACAAATGGAGACTATTTACATTAATGATACCAATGGATGTCCATGAATGTTGGAACAATTGAGTGGAGTTGGGATTATAAAAAAATTTTAGGCACAAGATTGCCCCTAAAAAGTCACATATGCTTTCAAATGTAATTCATACTTTATTTTTTATGAAGTAAAATGCCTTGTATGTACAAATGTCAGAGTTTTATTTATTTGTTTGTTTGTTTGTTTGTTCTGAAAGGAAGGAAAAAACACAAATGAGAAGAAAAGAGACAAGAAAAATAAAGAAAATTTGGACAAAGCTTTCATTCTTTGTAGTCTACTATATTGTCTGTTTTTTAAATGCTCTATATTCAGACTCCAGTGTCTAGAAATTAATAGTTCCAAACATATATTATTAAATGAGGGAAAGAGTGCATTGAAATAGAGGCCAAAAGAAGTGACATTTAGACATCAGATAAAGACAGAATATGCAGATCAGAGTAGGAAATATCTTTTGGAGCTGTTTATAGGTAAATTGTGAATATATTTTTATGTTGGTGAATATGGTTATGGTCTTCTATTGATAAAGTGTAGCTTTTGAAATGGTGTTTGTCTCTACTAGTAAATTATGAACTCAATTTTTAGAATCTTGATCAGAATTATTTGATTTAAATAAAATAGAGCAGATTCCAGGCTTCTGGGTTCTTAAAATTTAAATGATTTGACTAAACAAAAGTGACCTGTCCTTACTGATCTTTTTTCTCCTCTAATAATAAAACTAGTTGAGTGTCTTGATCTTAGTTGGTTCTAAATAAAGATTTGTTCACTTTTTAATGAAATCATTCTTTCAATGCAAGTTTGGCTTAAAATTATAATTTATGTGTAGCAACTACCGTAAGAATTTACATTGTGTTATTTCTAAAATGAAAAAAAATGTATATTTGAAATTCTATTATCTCATTTTCTAGTTATATAACGAGTTATTGGCCAAAAATAAACAAAAGTGAAGGCACTCTGAATACCCAGTTTAGGATTATAAGAGTATTTTAACATAACTTATGAGTGTTTTAATAACATATTTCAAATTAACGTACCAAGAGACCACTGCAAACTAATGGTGTCAATCAGGCATGATTTTCTTTCACCAGGGGAGATTTGTCAATGTCTGTAAATATTATTGATTTTCATCATGACTAGGGGGTGTAAAGGAATAATATTGCTGTCTAGAGGATGAGCTGAATTATCTACAAAGCACTGGAGAGTCTCTCACACAAAAATTATCCATCCCAAAATAGTAAGTGCCAAGGTTGAGAAAGTCTTTCCTAAACGATTGTTATAGAAACAAGTATAGGCAGTTAAGGGCAAGCAGGCCAGTAGGAGAGGGCAGTTGGGAGGAGGGGTGGGCAGGCCTACAGGACATTGGATGCAATCATGCCAGCAGGGGAGCAGATAGGCTTTGATCAGGCTGGCAGGGAGTGATTAGGGAGTGATCAGGCTAGCAAGCAGGTGAGCAGTTGGAAGCCAGCAGTCTGAGATTGTGAAAGGAATGTCTGACTGCCAGTCAGACATCCCCTGAGGGGTCATAGATTGGAGACGGTGCAGGCTGGGCTGAGGGACACCCCCTACTCAGTGCATGAATTTCATGCTCTGGGCCTCTATTGATAGTTAGAGTAATAATGTTAGACTAAAGGGAGAGCCATAGAGGGATGTTCCCTCAAAACCAGAGGTAATGTTAATTGATCTCCAGCCTGCCTTGGGATCCTATGGAGTTTGTACTGTAATTTTTCAGATGATCTTACTTGCATCATATTCTTACATAAGATCCCCTGGGTTAGAGTCACTGACAAAACCCAGCAGTTTGTTGCTGCCTAAACTCACTTGCAGAAGAAATAAGAATGCCATCTACTCAGATAGATTCAAAAGCTGCATTTTAAAATTGGGAAGAAGGAATTTTTAATTAAGTGGAAGAGAATAGAATGTTCTTTTAAAAAAATTTTGGTAAGCATTTTCTGAAAATAGAGCAGAGTGTTCTCTATAATTTTATTTCTGTATATATTTCTGATATTATATATAATATAGTTCTTATTAGTTTGAAATAAAAATAAGAGTGAGATCTCCAAAATAGAATCAATTATACTATTTGAATAAGTCAGACACTAAACTGGCTAGACTGTAATCTATGGCAAAATTCTTCTCATTTTTGCAAAAGCTAATAATTTTATCTATGACAAGAAATGAATGTATTGAAATCAAGTCATCAATATGTCTCATAATGCACTGAAAGACATATTATGAGCAAGGAGAATAAATATTGAAATATTATTACAAAAATTAATCTTTTTATTTTATTTTTTAATACATTTTATTGATTTTTTACAGAGTGGAAGAGAGAGGAATAGAGAGTTAGAAACATCGATGAGAGAGAATCATCGATCAGCTGCCTCTTACACACCCCCTACTGGGGATGTGCCCACAACCAAGGTACATGCCCCAGACCAGAATCTAACCTGGGACCTTTCAGTCCACAGACCGACGCTCTACCACTGAGCCAAACCAGTTTCAGCCAAAAATTAATCTTTTTAAACCTATCTTTTTATTGAGAGAGATAGAAACATAATGATAAGGGGAAAAAATCATTGATTGACTACCTCCTGAATACTCTATACTGGGGATCATGTCTGCAACTCGAGCATGTGCCCTGACCAGGACTTGAACTGTGACCTGCTGGTTAATAGGAAAACACAACCATTGAGTCATGCTGGCTGGGCACTAACGTTAATCTTTAATTCTCCACACCAAGCATCTCAAAGGGGCTAGGGTAGAAAATGTATAAAAAATCAGTCATGAATTTTATGAATCTTCTCTTGATAAAAGTCCACAATTTATCAAGAGAAGAAATGTGGAAGAAGATGGCTGCCATAAATGTAAAATGTTATATAAATGAAATGTGTGTAAAATGTGTCTCCATTACAAAGAGGGAAACTTGGGTGTCAGAGTATGGGAATTAGAAATCAAAAAGTCTTTGTAGAAGAGGTAGGGTTTTGGTAGGCCTTGAAAGATAATTAGGAGTTTTCCCTTCAACTCTTTATTCTCTGGTAGAAATGAGGATAGAAAAAAAAGCATATATGAAAGTAGAGAAGCATGCAATGGAATTTAGTAATTAAAGACCACAAAACAAATTTTCGGATTATATTACTGAGTGGTTGTGACAGAAGAGCTCTGTCTTCTTTGGAAAAATGTTTAGTATTTAAATCTTCTGCCCACTTGTAAATCTAATTGTTTATGTTTTGTGGGTTTTTCTTTGTGTTTTGTGTGTGTTTTCTTTGCTATTGAGTTGTATGAATTCTTTATATATTTTGTATATCAACTTCTTATTATAACATGATTTACAAATATTTTCTCTCATTCAGTAAATTGCATGAAAACTTTTTGAAATTACCTGAGCAAGAGGTGTAGTATATAAAAGCCATTAGTCATTGAAAAGACATGAAGTATTAGTAACTTTATTTGTCCAATATACCAAGTCATGTCCACTGTGAACAAAGCAATTTATTAGTTTCCTCAAAATTGTTTTTAATATTTGAATGGACAAGTGAAAGAGAAAGAAATATGGTACATGACATTATAAATTTAGTACCAGTTTTGTCAGAGTGATGTTACCACAGAACATTCATTTTCCTTTGTGTTATTCATGTTAACTTTTTTCAATACCAATAGTTTTCTTAAGTTTTGAAAAATTAATATTTAATTGTAAATAATAAAATGCACAAGAGCTTTGAACAGAGAGCCAATATGGACTGCTTACTACCATATAGTTCTTAACTTTATCATGCAATTGATTTGGGTGAAAGAAATAAGTTTTTCCTCCAAAACATTTACTTTTATTCTTCAGCCCATCCCAGATTCCAAGTATACTACTAATCATTTTAATATTAATGCTTTCATAGTAACAATAAAACTTATTTTCAGGATGATAAGTAATAAAAGCACATTTTAGAGTTTTAAGGTTAATTGAATTAATATGGGTTTAATTCTCCTCTCTCTATCCAGACACACTGATGGTACATGGCCCAGATCAATTGCACCCAGGTAAAGGAGTTTATTCTCATGGGCCTCACAGATCGTCAGGATTTAAAGATGCCTCTCTTTATGGTTTTCTTATCCATCTACCTCTTCACAGTAGTAGGCAACCTGGGTTTGATCTTAGTCATTAAGACAGATGCAAGACTCAACACACCAATGTACTTCTTCCTTAGCAACCTGGCTTTTGTTGATTTCTGTTATACTTCTGTCATTACACCTAAAATGCTTGGGAATTTCTTATACAAACAAAATGTTATTTCCTTCAATGCCTGTGCTGCTCAGTTAGGCTGTTTCCTAGCTTTCATGACAGCCGAATGTTTGCTTCTGGCTTCCATGGCTTATGACCGATATGTGGCCATTTGTAACCCCCTCCTCTACATGGTTGTAATGTCCCCAAGAATCTGCACTCGGCTTGTGTCTGTCCCTTACAGCTATAGCTTCCTGGTGGCACTGTTTCATACCATCCTCACCTTTCGCCTCTCCTATTGCCACTCTAATGTCATCAACCATTTCTATTGTGATGACATGCCTCTCCTCAAGCTAACTTGCTCGGACACTCACTCCAAACAGCTATGGATCTTTGCCTGTGCTGGCATCATGTTCATATCTTCCCTTCTGGTTGTCTTTGTCTCCTACGTATACATCATTTCTACAATCCTGAGGATGCGCTCAGCTGAGGGAAGACGCAAGGCTTTCTCCACGTGCAGCTCTCACATGCTGGCAGTTACCGTATTCTATGGGACCCTGATCTTTATGTACTTACAGCCAAGCTCCAACCATTCCCTTGACACAGACAAGATGGCCTCTGTCTTCTACACAGTGATTATCCCCATGTTGAATCCCCTGATCTACAGTCTTAGGAACAAGGAGGTGAAAGACGCCCTGAAGAAAGTCATAGACAACAGAAACCAGACTTTTCTGTTCATGAAATTAAGAAAGTGACTTAAGCGAATTAAAGTGGTCTGATTTGTCTTCCTCTTAAAAAACTATCAAAATGCCTAGTCAAAAAAAAAAAATAAATAAGAGGGCAACATTAATCAATACGATTATATAGGTTTCAAGTGTATGATACATGATTAATATATTGCATTGTATGCCCACCACTTAAAGTCAAATCTTCTGTCACCATATATTTGATCCTCTTTACACTTTACTATTCCCCACCCTCTTCCCTCTGGTAACCAACCTACTGCTGTCTGTGTCTGCTGGGGTCCCAGCATTACAAAGGGTTCAGCAATCTGGAGAAAGGAGCTGTGCGTAGATTCAATAAAGAGTCCAAAGATGAAAGATAATTTTGAAAGGCATTGGGGATCAGAGAAGCTTCAGCTGAAGGAACTAAAGACTACCTCCTTGACTCAGGACTCTGCTTTTATTAACACAATTTGTCCTAAGGCAAGATGGAGATAGTACACTTCAAAGGGTAGGGTTTACAGAAGCATTGTGAGTTTGGGGAATAGCCTACAGCTGTTCATGTTTGGCCAACAGGAAGCGATAACATGCAGATTAAGATGCTCTGAGCTGTCTGGCAGCAAGCAATCCTATTCAGGTTTGGGGGAGATATTTTTTAGCCTTCCCAGATGACTCAGCCCTGCTGACATGCTGAAACTGGCTTCTGGCATGTGTCTATTAGTTTTTACTTGCTTTTCTCATTTGTTCATTTGTTGCTTTCATTTTTATGTCCCACATATGAGTGAAATCATATGGTTCTTAACCTTTTCTGTCTGACAAATTTTGCTTAGCATGATATTCTCAAGATCCATCAATGTTGTTGCAAATGTCAGTATTTCATCTTTTCTATAGCTGAGTAGTATTATTTTATATATCCATACAATATCTTTTTTGTCCAACCATCTATCAAAGGGCACTTGAATTGTTTCCATGTCTATGCCTGTCTCAATATAATTTCTATATATTTATTCAAAGAATAATACATTTCTCTGAAGTTGTTTATTTAGAATCTAATTTCTGAACATAAAAGTAACCATAAGAATTAACCACCATTATCTCATTTTTCAAATAGAAAAAAATATTAAAATGATTAATTCTTTGGTTCATAAGAATGTATACCAATTTCCTCATTTCTCAAATAAAAGAATGAATCAAAAGCTAATACTTGAACATATAACTAGTTACAAGTAGAACAGAGACTAAAGTTCAGATTCTCCACCCCACCAAAATCCCTAGTTCAAGATTTTCTGGTGCATTGACAATATCCCACATTAAAAGCAAAGATGAATAGTTTAAATAATTGTTTCCTGATTTGCTAATATTTTGAGAAAATTTGAAAAACTGTAAAACATTTTCATATTGATGTATTTAACAAGTTGCCTTTATTAAATATAATAGTAGTGCATCCTAATTTTATTTATATCATTATTTTAACATGGCTTTCCACTTACCTGGAAGCCTGTTTTGGTCTCAAAAGACTCTTTGAGAGAACTGCTTTTTTACTATGCCTATGAGACCTCATTATATTGTTTCCAGTTATTTTAAAATATAATAATAATTTAATTCATGGATAGAATCCCAGAGGGGCATCATACATTCTAAACAAATATATTCAAAATAATTGAAACTTATAGACCGTTTTGGCAATAACAAGGATCATATGCAGTTACAACAGGTAAACCTTGGGTAAGTTGGTTGCTATTGATTGTGTTATAGTATAACACAATGAACATCGTAGGCAATGTGGGGTAGTAAAAGAACACATGCTTATTGCTAAAGAATAGCAATAGGCTCTATAGTATTTGCAAGCTCTCACAAGTTTATCAATTAAATAACAAAGTTACTAAATTTTGAGTCTTTAAAAAAAAAGATTAAACAGTGTGAAAAAGGGCAATAGTAAATTGTGAGCACTTGCATATCATTTTTTTGTTTCTGTGAGCCTAAATACCTAAACCATCATACCAACTCTCCTTATAAATTTGAAGGAGCAATTGATAGATGGAAATTACAATACACTATAATATAGAAAAAGTTATAGCCATAAATATTCGAGTGTATTTTTCAAATAAATGCAATGATAATTTTATAATTTTAAGTATACAGAAAATGGATTTGAGTTTGATAATCATTCATATCATTTAATAATTTTTATCTTAGACTCATTTGAATGCTAATGACCAAATACTAGAAATATGCTATTAATCCCTAGAGAGAGATTACATTCAAATAAAAATATTTCTTAAAAATTTCTTAGGTCTGGGTCCACTTTGATTTAATTATATAATTTAATGGATCATAGAGAGATAAGATTAGTCTAATCTACAGTTCTCAATGTTTCTTTCCTCATCTTCTATTTAGACACATTTACCTTCCATTTGAAAATTTCAGTGGCTCCCCATTTGCTCACAAAGCTCCTGTAGCAGATTTTGAGTCTGTATTCTATGTACCAAAACCTTATCATTAAATCAAGAGAATTAACAACCTCCTGTCAGGCTGGTGCGTTGACTGCATCACTGCTGTTCTGTTGGAGTATGGATTCCTTGGAGTTTAATCTTAATGTGAATGCTGGGTCTAACATTTGCCTCAGCAAAAGATCTCAGACAGTTTATTGCGTTTATGCATGCCTCAGTTCCCATAGCAATATAAAGGTGAAAACAGTGTTGGCTGATAAATCTATTGTCATAGGATTAAAACATACAATGGATAAAAAGACATTTAAGAGTAAAATAATTTTTAAATGGATAATTTTTATATTTATTATACCTAATCTTAAAATGTTATACTTGGTTAAGTTATAAATATTATTTAGAAACTGAGGGTAGATGTCTGTTCTGAGATTTTTGGTTTGAAAGTGGTAAAAGGGAAAAAATAGATAAAGTAGTGATCAAGATAAAGTTTCCAAGAAAAAATAAATAAAGGGTGATGCTTTTTACATTTTACTAGAGGCCGGGTGCACAAAATTCGTGCATGGATACGGTTTCTAGGCCTGGGTTCCAATCAAGTTCAACTTCCCCTTCTGCCAGCAGCCAGCCCCACCCCTTGCTGCCACCCACCCTCGGTTCCAAATTCACCATTGGGCAACCAGAGTCCCCGAAGGAAGGGACCAAGAGGTGGTCAGTGTACCTCTTAGTGACTGGTCGTTCCCCCATTAGAGTCAATTTGCATATTACCCTTTTATTATATAGGATTATGTTTTATCTATCTAAACTAGGGGTGTCGAACTCAATCAGAGAAGGGGCCAAAATCTAAAATCCAGCCTAAATCGCGGGCCGAATGGTTTACTGAACAGTCATAAACTGTCATTGTGATGGAAACGCAGCGGAGTGCAGTGATGACAGCACGGTGCGGGCCACATTGCAAGGCCTGGCGGGACGGATTTGGCCCGCGGGCCTTGTGTTTGACACATGTGATCTAAACCATACAAGGTGCATGTGAGGTTACCTGAGACAATGTAGAAGTAAAGGAAAATCAAGTTAATTTATCTTTTGTTCTATTTAGAAAAGAAAGGCATAATTTCAATTCCACTAGCTTTTAAGCATTTATAATACAGCTTGAATTTATAAAAATGCCCTGTGAAATTTAGTTATTCTAAATATTGCCCAAATATTATTCACTTTTGACCATTTACTAACTTGGAGATAGATACTAAAACGATGTCTCTTCATAATTAAAAGCTGTTTTGCAATCTAAAAAATTGTTCACTGCTGAGTATTCTTCCAAAATATATAGCCAGAAAATTCACAATCCTATTTTTCCTCTGGCAACCACCATACTGTTGTCTGTGTCTATAAGTTTTTGTTTATTTATCTTTCTTGTTTGTTCATTTGTTTCTTTCAGTTTCATATCCCACATGTAAGTGAAATCATAGTTTTTTTGTTTTTTTTACTTTTCCTGTCTGACTTGTTTCTTTTAGCATGACATTTTTTGAGATCCATCCATGTTGTCACAATGGCAGTATTTCATCCTTTCTTATGGATGAGTAGTATTCCATTGCATATGTACCATATCTTCTTTATACAATCATCTATCAAAGGAAACTTCAGTTGTTCCATGTCTTGGCCACTATGAATATTTCTACTATTAACAGAAGGGTGCATATATCTTGGCAAATAAATGTTTTCAAAGTTTTTGGAAGAGGGGTTACTAGTTCATATAGTAACTTGATTTTTAACTTTTTTCCATAGTGGCTGTAAGCAGTTTGCAATTCCCACCAGCAGTGAATGAGGGTTCCTTTTTCTCCACCACCTCTCCAACACTTGTCATTGCCTCTCTTGTAGGTGGGAGGTAATATCTCATTATTGTTTTTATTTGCATTTCCTAGTAGCTAGTAAGTTGAGCATCCTTTCAGATATCTGTTGCCCATTTGTGTGTCTTCTTGGGAGAAGTATCTGTTCAGGTTCTCTGTTTAGTTTTAACTGGATTGTTTGCTTGGTTAGTGTTGTGTTGTGTTGTGTTGTGTTGTAAGAATTCTTTATATGTTTTGGATATTTACCTGTTGTTGGAGCTGTTTGTTATGAGTTTTATATCTTTCACATCTATTTTTGGTAACTCTTAATGTTCTTATAAAATGATGAAATTATAATTTTATAAGATAAATGTACAATTTAAGAAACCACTCATATAGGCTATCAAAATCACTTACATTTTTAATGTTTCTTTTTTACCTTTATATTTCAAGAAAAGCACAACACAGACTTTGCAATTGTGCTAGTGTTGATTTGAACCAAATATCTCAGAACAGACATCTACCCTCAGTTTCTAAATAATATTTATAACTTAACCAAGTATAACCTACTTTCTTTTCCTATTAAACCAAGTAAAACTTTAATCAAAGTGCTTTTTCCTTTTTGTTTATAGTGGATTTTCTATGTTGGACTTTCTGCCTGGACCAAACTCTTTCACAGTGAAGGCATAAGTAAAACCTACTCATAATTCCTGTCAGAGATCTACTTACTGGTAGACTGAACTTAACATAACCTCTTCGTGATTCAGGG